CCTAGACTCCAGTATCACTGTAATATTTAACCAAACTATTGGCTTTCGTATTAGTAAAAACCAAAAATTACAGACTTAATAATGTGTAGCTCCATCTTATATCTTTATGATCTATAGTGTCGTGATGTACATAATAAATTGGGGTATTGTCATATTCGCACCCTATTGTCTGTAACAGTTCTATGTCTTACCCTTCTTTATGTTTTCTATTTGAACTCTATCTTTAAATATATATATATATATATATATATATATATATATATATATATATATATATATGTTCTGGCTTTACATTGATTCATAAAGGGAATAAACGGTATCAAATACTCTATACTGAAAGAATAAAATAATACCGATCGATCAGATGATCATATGCTAGATGACTGATCATAGAAGTCTCTAATGTATGAATATTAACATGAATTCGGATGATATTCAAGAAGAAAATACTTCGGATAGAGTGGAGATGAATCAAAATTAAAATATATTCAGTTTCTAAAAATCAGAATGCCTTTTTCGATTATCTTGTTGGTACGTAACCAAATACGCATAAATTAAGCAAACTTTTAATTTTATGTAAACAGAAAAAAACTATATGAACTCATTTTGCGTCATTAATATTGCAGCATTCTGTTCAAAAATACAAATCCAAATTGACGTAAAAATACTCGTTGCCTAAAAATAGAATTGTCAGGTTGTTAGATGTATCAAGTCATGCTTACTAAAACTGACCAATAGGATTGCAGTATTGGATTCAAGGTCAAGCTGAATTGTCATGTGATTTAAAGGAATGGCAGTCCGATAAGGTAAAGTTCAATTTATCACATTATACTCATCTCGGATAATGCTCAATATTTACGATGATAGATTAAATAGGAAAATTTTGCTTTTAACATAATTTAACACGAAATATTTAAAATAATTTAAACAGTTCTGAATCTTTTGACAAACTATATGTATGAGGAAGCTAACTTTGAGAACCACCAATCCGGTAAACATAATTACACCCCCTGAATGAACTGTTTTTTTTCTGTTGGATCAGTCTAAATTTTCAGTAAGATTTTCACTAAAAATCAAAATAATAATATTAAGAATAATTCTCTAAAATTCTCCGGTTAATTAGTTAGTTCCGGTCACAAGCTCGGATAAAGGAAGAGGGTTGGGTTGTTAGCAATCCCATCGCGCAGAAATCCAACTCGTTAAAAAAAAAACGCTAGCCATAAAATTAATCCTCTGGTCAGCGGACAGGGTAACAGGCTTAAGTAAGTGAGTAAGTCACAAACTTTCCTCTTCCCACTGCACGTACTATCCCTTTAAATACTCCTGTGGAATAAATTAGGTGACCAGTGAGTAGTCCCATACTAGGCCGAAACATGTGTCTAGTAATTCTTGGTTTTCAGTGGTCGTAAAGATGGAATCAACCCCTGATGTAATGTACAGAAAGTAGCTATGGACATTATGATTTAAGAAGTGTTGAAGAAGAATTCTAGTCATAGACAATAGATTGAATTTTTTGGTTTATAACTGGCAGGTTAAATTTGATATCTTTTACATGAATAAATCATAATCAAATTTAATTTAGAATAATTTCACTGAGTGTAATCTGCTCTTCACTATCATATAAATTTGATATAACAGTGTTATCAGAAACATGTTTCAGCATAGCCATTAGATGATGCCATGGAACATTTTGTCGTTAAACTAATTCAATTTATCATTCTTCATTAAAAACTACAAATATATAACGACTTCAGTCACTATTTACTTACTTACTAACTTACGCCTGTTACCCTTAATGGAGCATAGGCATTTGACCAGCATTCTCCAACTTACTCTTTCCTGGCTTTTTCTTTCCATTTACATCCGATTGCTGTTCATTCTTTGTATGTCTGTTCCCTATCCTCGGAACAGTATGTTCCTTGGTTAATCACTTTTCCTTTGAACTTGAGGATTACAAGTGAGGGCTTGCCTTGTGATACAGTCGGGCGCTTTCCCAAAATGTGTGTTCCATCCAATTCCAGCGCTTCTTCCTGATTTCTTCCTCATCTGGAATCTGGTTTGTTCTCACTCACAGTCGACAGTTACTGATGATATCTGGTCAATCGATCCTTAGTATCTTGTGTGGACAACCGTTAATAAATACTCATTTCTTATGGATGATAGATTTCATGGTTCTGCAACTTTCCACCCCATAGATTAGAACGCTTCTATTAAAAAACTGCAACTTTGGTGTTGATTGATGGTTGCTTTGAGTTCTAGATGTTCTTCTGTTGTAGAAATGCTGCCCTTGCTTTGCCAATCCTCTCCTTCACATCTATAATAGATTCATGATAAAATTTAATATTCTATTTCATTTTATAATATTCAGTCATTTTTTTAAGTACAATTACAATGTATTAAACACCTTAGAAAATTCCATTAAGCGATACTTTTGTAAGTTGTGTTCTATACACACTATTATTGATTTATATAAAATTCATGGAATGTGACAACATGGCGGATTCCATCCACTATTTGGGACAAATCAAGTAGAATTATTTGCATCTCAAAGTTGATAATCCCTTTTTGGGGGGCACATTCAACTGACGTATTATTTATTACAAATAAGACGAAACACATCAAGTTGAATGATAGTACTAATCACATTCTATTCTATTCCATGTAAACTTGTGTAACGATTATGATTGAATCGAAAAAATCTACAGAAGATACAATACACATATACCAGCTAAGATCGATTATAAATTTTAGTGGAAAAACGTATATACCAACAATCGAATAGTCTAATTGATATTCATTATTGAAATTGTTTATTATTATTATTATTATTATTATTATTAATATTATTATTATTATTATTATTTATTTCATACATTTTATTTGCTTTTTTGTACATTTTAGACATTTCGAATAGAATAGACATTTGATAAATATTCCCATCTTTTGTATACATTAAACATAACTAAACAATCAGATAGAATATAATACAATACAATTTTCCATTAATATGTCTGAATTGAAACAAAAAATCTTTAATAAAACATTTTCCTTACAAAATAAACTATGTCAACGTTTATCGAATCATGCATCGAATCACGATGCATGCGAACACAATGATTAGGATAATTGTTATTATATTTTAAGTAGAAAGTTTGTAGTGTATAATTAACCAATTTAAATTGAGCAGAAAAACCTGGAAAACGAATTTATATATATATATATATATATACTGAATACACAATTTAATCATCACTTAGTGTAAGTATTCAAATTTTCAGCAGTTTAAACTTGAACTGAACGATGAACGTTTGTTTAAATAGGTAGTATGTTATTTCTTTAATGATATGGAATTTTGATGAAATCATTCAATGAAAACCTAGAAGAACTAGAGAATCATTCTGTCGCTTCTCGGCTCTCTGAGCTAAGATCATGTGTAGTAACTGTCCCAGTATTACTTACTTACTTACGTTTACTTACGCCTGTTACCCCCCCCCCCCAATGGAGCATAGGCCGAACACCAGTTTCCTACAGCCAACTCTGTCCTGGGCTTCCCTCTCCAGTTCTGTCCAATGTTTGTTCATTTTTCTCACATCTTTCTCTATTTCTCGGTGTAATGTGTTCCTTGGCCTTCCTCTTTTCCTTTTGCCTTGAGGGTTCCATGTGAGGGCTTGTCTCGTGACGCAGTTAGGTGCTTTTCATAGTGTGTGTGTCCTATCCACTTCCACCGCTTCTTCCTGATTTCCTCCTCCACTGGAATCTGGTTTGTTCTCTCCCACAGTTCGTTGTTGCTGATCGTGTCTGGCCAACGAATACGAAGTATTTTGCGTAGACAGCTGTTAATAAACACTTGTATCTTCTGTCCTAGTATGAGTCTCCCCTAAAAGTGTCAATCCACAAAGCTTTATAACTGTGAGTGAAATGTATATCAATCAATGATGGATGATCTTGACATTGCAACTTACTAGTTGATAATAACTTAACATTGAAAGATTATTTAAATTTGAGCGTAAAATTACCAGTTACTTAGGCTAAAGCTAACAATGAACTCATGATACATGTTTAATGGGTATAGAGAGAAAGTTCTTCTATGCAGATGGAGACATTTATTATTGGTACATTAAAATCCCCATACCAAAATAATGTATTTCCTTGACAATAATAGATTGAAATCTGTCTCGGAATTACATGTGTCATGAATAGACAGCATCTGTCGCTTCCCTAAAAGGTCGTCATATGATTAGTGGGAACATTAAATACGTTTACGTGTATCTTTTTTCTTTATATAAAAAAAAACTTATTTTAATACTCTCTTCATAAGAGCTAATACACTTGAAGACAGACTTAAGTGCCTTAGGTAATTATTGTTTTTTTAATGATATGTCTACTTTAATCCATTAGGGAGTGGATGTATCAAAATAACTAAATCATTTGGTAAGAAATGGCATAGTTGACAGATACTATTATGTTCTAATATATATGATGGTCGTTGTGCTGGCTATCAAAATATCTAATGAATTTGTTACCTGTATATCGAACTACAGATTTGCCTTTTTCTTAGAAGGCATATTTAGTTCTATTCAATTCTGTGGAATCCACATTCTGTGAATTCGTTGATCATAGAATGGCATAAATAACGTTTTTTTTTTTCAAACAACTTGGACAAGACAAACACCTCACTTCTCAAACTTGCTATCCTTTGGCTATCCATATAATCGTCTGGACATTTTTTTACATCCATACCTGTCTGGTAAAAACCTTTGTTGTCCAACACCCACACAATTTCAAAATCATTATGGAGGCGGGATATGAGTTCGTTAGTCACATAAACCAATTAACAAGAGGTCTGCCTATCTATCTTGTTCTTTAACATGTCCTGACATGTTATTTAAATACTAAGGTAGGCATTTAACATGTGTCGTCAATGGATGATAAATTAACCAATCAGAAATGTTTGTTCGAACATGTGACTAGGTCGAGAACTAAATAGGAATTGGTCAATTGAACCCACTAGCAAGTACAAAATTATCTGATTTGTGGTGTAAATATGTCTAAGTTGATAATCTCTGACATCAAGAAATGTTCCCCAATGAATGATTGGATCATGAGCTCAATTATCAGCACATTTTCAATAGGCTAAACCATTTTATTGTTCATGATCCAATTGATTGAGTGTTTTTCTTGATTCGTATTTATTTTGTCACTACAAATATGAACTGTCATTTTAGGATTTCCTCGAACTGATGGTGGAATTTTGTTGCATTTAATTCATTCAGAAATATCTGAACGTTTTTATCCCGGATTAAAAAATGGCACAAGTTGGTGGCCTGCATAATAACCCTTTATTGTTTAATCATCATAAACTCGATAATGGCAATTCTAATTCATTGTCACAAATATTTCACCTACAACTTCCTGAGTTGATTACTCCGTTACAAATAAGCCGCTCGGCTGCATCCAGTGCATGTCCATCCGATGATTCCGGGATCGAGAGAACTTTGAATCTGAGTCCGTCATCCCCGTTTCCCGAAGATTCCGATTCAGATGACGCTCAGTCATTTATTAGCTTTGATGTGAGAAATTCAACTAGTCAGTCGCAGATTCCTCATCATCCACCAAGAGTGGGTACATGTCGTTTCGGTTCCACTGTTAAATACGTAGAGTCAGCCAGACTTTCGCCTCCAGGGACTTGTGCAGCAGCGGTCGAAGATAAATACTATCCTGTAGCAAGTCCTAGATCATATAAACCTAAATTTAAAAGTGGGAATCGTTTCCAAATCCTATCATATGATCAAGTGACTAGGTTACACAATGTCTTATCGAAAACCATTCCAATCCATAGCAGACATCCAGGATTCCCAACTATTATGGTCAAGCTCAATGATTTGTTTAGAGCAGTCCGAGGAAACCTAAAATCGGCCGGAATTCCTATTCGGAATATGCGCCTAAACGGTGGTGCTGCTTCATATATTATTGGTAAGTGTAAGTGTTCATTTTTACTGACTATTTACTCTTTCAAGAGGCATTCGTCAAGATTTTGTTCGTTTATTTCTTGAAAGGCTCTGAAAACATATCACCATTGTTAATTTAAGGGTTATATTTTTTTCTATATGGTTTCCAATTCTGAAGATTGTAGTATTGGTAACTGAATTGTATTCAGTCTAGTTTTTAATACTTTCTGAAATACTATTAACATACTATTGGGTTATTTCAACTTTTTATCGATTCACTTATTTTAGAAACATTTTCAATTCAAATCCTACACACTTGGTAAACTGGTCGGTCTATTTAACTAGGATACATAAACGTCTTATTTATTTTAAATCACTCTCACTCAACATTCTTGACAAGATTATAGAGTAACCATAGTTTCTAGAATAATCCACTTCAGGTCCTCTTAAGTCATGTATTTAAGTGTAGGTTTTCCATAAAGTGATATAGTTCATAGTTGATCAGTGACCCCAATATATGTTGATTTTCGTGTTTAGACTTGTGTCCTTACTTAACAACATTTTGACCATTTCTTATTAGCTTTTTTGATGTGTTGAAACTGAAACTGAATAATTTTTTGTGCGAGGCTACACTAATGCTTGTCTTATTGAATCTGATCACTACTAGTAATTGTATATGTACTCCTTGTTGTTGTCGAATTTGCAAAAGCAATATTAGAATCCACTAGTTTATGAACATCCCAAAGGTTTTCCAAGGTAACAAATTGATTTTGAAATTGTACAGTGATCCCATCATAATAGCGAAGGAGTTTTACGCGCCTGCTAAAAGTCACCTTTTGCTATTCATGCAAAAAGTTTCCACCGTAGGTCAATGCAGTAACATCTAAGCGTATATAAAGTTATGTGTCACGTTGCTAAGACATGAGAATTGAAGAAAAGCGTTTAATGACTATCAAAAACACCAGTTTTTTTATGTATTATTTCAAAACTTTCGTATTCCATAAGCACCAAACTATATGGAATGATGATACTGTCCACTTGTGTATTCATCGTATAAACAGAATACAATTCTTAATTTTTAACTCATTGTAAAACTGAATCAACCGTTGTATTGTTTCGCCTGCATGACTCAAGTTATTTACAAATCTTTGTCAATAAACAACAAACTCATTATAGTTTATACAATTGTTTCAAAGTTATTGAGAGGTAATGGATTAGTGCATAACATTACAAGTTTTGCACGAATTTGGCTTGAAATACCACTTCTTATTGCAATAACGGTCATCCCTTTTTCTCATAGACCGGATTTTATTTTTGCTGATATTGAATTTAAGTTTTGCTGTTTAATAGATTTGACCTTTCGTAATATATCGGAGAATTCAATTAACATTATTTTTTTTATTCACTTAACAGTTCATACTGTTTTTATGTTCTAGTGGACAGTAAAATTTAATGCATACCTATAAGAACTGTATTTGTCTTGTTTCTCTTGTGAAATACGTTAAACAATGCAAACTATGAAGGTGGAGCATAATTTGATCATAGTTCATTAAGTTGGAAAGTTTTTCTATAGACCGGAAAAAAAATGATTGAACATGATTTGTAAATTTGTCGAAAAATCATCTGACATTAGTTAATTTTCAGTATAAAGAATAAGAAAATTATAATAATGTTAATGGTTACATTCGATGTAGTTTTACTAGGCCAAGTGAAAATAATAAGACAGAATTAGGTATTCGGTCATGCATATGGCAGAACTTGATATATATGTCTGCCAATCCAGGTTTCTGCGTGACAATGGCACAGTGATGAATTAATCGAGTTGAAGTGGTAGGCGTATTAATGTTATTAAAAATATTTAGGCTTGGACAATATAATTTGTGAAGAGAGAATAAATTAGTGGAAGAAGGCACATAAGATAATTTTAGGACTCTGGACCTATGGAAAGACGGAATGAATGAATGAATCTGGGTCAGTGACTGATTTTGAATCATTTTATCCAAATATCTAACAGTAGTTTACGATAATCATATACACTTTACATACTGACACGGATCAGTCACTGACTTCGTGAACTGATATCATGTCTTGATTTGAATGTTTCCACTTCTCTTCTAACCGGTTTCTATGTGAATTAATACTTGGTTAGTATTACTCAATGTGTTTTATTTGAAATTAATTAATTTAGATTATCTTATTCTAAATAACTTTTCATTTGTCTTAGGATAATATCATTTTCCTTTCTCCTTGCTTTCCTAATACAGATGAGATAATGATGAATGATTGATAAGAAATATACAACTTTCAACTGTTGTGTTATAGGTTTCGATTACTCCTCTCATATCGTTTCTGCTCAGCGTGTGCCAGTCGTGATATGAATAATGTTCAGTACATGATGTATATGTAACTGGTTAGTTCTCAAAACTATATTTGTCTTCTAGAAAAGATAGATTTGTATCCTATAAATTTTAACACAGTGATAGCATATCTGATCAGTTTGGTTTTTCGTGGTAAAGGTTTTCAAAACACCTGTTACATTGTATCATATCAATAGTTAGTGACTTGAATAACTGTTTCGGTCTAAATAGCAAATTATCGATTCATCAACCGGTGGTGACTGATGTCACGTGTGTCAGCTCCTTTTGTGGTACTGATCAAATTCTATCAGTTACGGCCCGGATAGTTCAGTCGTACAATCGCTGACTGTAAAACTGAGTGACACTGGATAAAATCTCCCCAAGAAAAATCAGTACCCTCGAGATTACAGGCAAACGTTGCTGACGAGTGCTAAATACTACGAAAGTGAACAAAGGAAAAATAAATCGTGTGTGAATCGTTGCTTCACCAAAATTATTATAATGAATGCGCAAGCTTTTAATCATGATGCTACAAGTTAGTAATTAAGTAAATCCGAATGGATGAAGGTTACGAAATGTGTATACCGAAATGATCAGTCAGTCAGATGCAACGTAGAACTTCGTACGTAAGTGCATCCGTTTCCTGTCGCCATACCACATCAGCACAGAGATGTAATTGTCAATTCAAATCCAATAGTAGAAGGGATAGTAAAGGATACCGAAATGATAAGTGTAATTTTTGGGTATTCATGTAGTTTCAGTCTTGAAAAATGTCATCATAGAGCCGTGAAGATTGTTACTTTTCATTGAAGTCATGAAACGATCATTCATAGACCACTGTGCGGCAGTTTCATCCTAGTCCACTACTCATCAGCAATGCGTGTCCACAATCCTCACCTTCGGGAATCGACCCCTGGATCTTCGGTCTCACGTGCGAACGCTTAAACGCTAGACCGCTGATCCGGAATCCAACACTGTTAATGTCTAACTTTTGCCAATTCCAGGTATTGTACAACCTCACCCATTATCTTCGGTAGGTGACTGTCTACACCTGATAGGATGTGTTATTTGTAAGCACATTTTATTCTATTATATTAGTTAATTTCATTAGTTAATTGTTTGAACATGCATGCATGATTTATCTGTTTAATGACAGAGTTTTTCTCAATTTCAAACAATTCAAATGTAAAGATTTCTGTGTTTCATTTTGTACAAACAAATAAGAAAATGAACTTTTTAAAAAAAATCAAATTATTACTGTAAATACCACTGAGAAAGTACATTTTCATGCATTGAAATCATTATCATATAAGATAGACAGTGTGTGCATGATTTATGATATGGTAATTTCAGTTATATCCTCTGCATTATTAAATAACATAGTTATATTATTTATTTTCTTGGTTCATATTAATGCGTTTTATTCGCCATGGTTTATATTTTCATTCAACTAAGTCAACCTATAAAAATTTCTAGAAAATTGATTAGTTTTTCATCGAAACAGCAAACATTCACAAAGACTCACGATGTGAATTTATGAAATTTAAACTATCAACTTTATAGTCAACTTATGTATTGAAAGTAGGCGGTTCTAGATGGAAATAATAACAGACTGGCATTAGTCCTACACATAAATGCTTTGTTTTTGGTAATCAGTGTAGTGTTTTTCACGTACATTCGTCTCAATCAGTAGACTAAAACTGTAGTGCAATAGTTGTGAAAGAGTGAATAGATTTAAAAAGAAGTAAAATCTTTAAGTTGTATAGGGTGATGATCGTTAGTAATTTGGGTTTTTAATTAGCCTCTATATCAAGTAATATTTAGCTCAACTGATATTTAATGTCGTAAATCAGTTGTCGGATGCAGTTTGTTGTAGTAATCAAAAAAAGTAACTGCGTTTACACGTTTTTGTATGGTAAAATTGTGAAGTAATTAACACTAAGATTAGATGCAGAGTAGTAATAAATAAAGATGGCAAATTGATTCATGTGTGAAAGCATTCATCATCAATTAACATGGCCATGCCTAAGATGCCCAGCCACCTACTCAACTGTACAATGGTGGACAACATAGGACTAAGTTAGTAAGAATCCTATTTGTGACCAAATTAAAATGTAAGTCATTGTGTGTTGATCTAACCTATGTCGTAAACTGTTGACTTTCACCCTCGGCTTAATAATCAGAAACTGTACGACAGGGTCCAAATTTAGTCATAGTAACGTGGACAAGTCTATCCTTTACCTTTCACCATAACTTTCCTCCTTTTTGTTCAATGGTTTTATTTACTGATTCTGAAACGTGTTTATTATGTATAGTCTACTGTTATAACCGATTTTATTAATCCCGCCATTTTCTGTTTAGTTTATTCCTTCTCTCTGAGTTAATATACAATAAGTGTTAATTCATATATAGATAGATATCCACACAGTAATCTTTGATGTATTGATGTAGCTGTGTGTTGGTGGCGAACACTAAATAGTCTGAATCTTGGATTTTTGTTGCATTCCAACGGTTCTGTTACATAGATAAAAAGCTAGATAAAGGAGTCCTTATCTTTCTACTTAGGATTTTTTTATTCACAACTTCAAATTGATTATATCATTTTGACTCCGTAGCGTTTTTTTTATCTTTCACATGGACTTTGGTGTTTTTAGGCGGATGACTATGTAATGCTTTCATTGAATTAAATATAAAAAAGCAAATAAAGTATTTTCAATTCAACTTGGTCGAATGCTGAAACGATAGTGAACACTAAACAACTGTGCAAACCAATCCAGGAAATATGCATTAAAAATTTGGCCGTTTGTGAGACTGTATAGGAAATAGATGGAGCTTTTATCAGTTCCTAATCTGGGTTATTGGAGCGCCTATTAACGTATGATCAATTACATAAGCTTGGGAACGTCAAACTCGATAAAGTAAAGCTCGTTTTAGATGTCACAGTGGGCCAGCCTATTGGTTATTCATTCTTCGTTCGGTTTCGGTTTAGAAGCATTCTTACCAGTGATCTAACATAGTCGTATTTCTTGATCTTAAGGCAGTATTTAACTTTGTCGAACGAAATGTTTTTTTGTGGTAGTGTGTTGGTCACTAAAAAGTGCGCCAAATAAGTATGTAAAGGCTCCTTACTCAACTGATATTGTCAGTTGGAAATTGTGTCAAACCGCTGTCAAGGTAAAAAACCTTATGTAGTGTTTGTTAAAGCTGTTTACTATCTCATTTTTTTATTTCATCTCACTGTGTTCTTCAATTCGCATCATTTTCATCTAACTTTTCAAGGATTAATTTCCTTCCTGGAAACTCTCTCGTTGGCATGAGGTAGTACACAAGTGACACATCCCTCTTAAGTGTAAGGTAAGTAATGTCACCTCATTGTGTCAGTGAGATTTAACAACCCAGGCAGAGACTGACCTGTTCTTTGCTTATGACTAACTGCTTTTATGTTCTGTGAGATTGTCCTTTACATCAGAAACAAGAATAATGCTATTTTCATCAGTGTTCCTAAATAATGCTGCATAAAATTAAAATTATTCGATTTCCTAATCTTCTGGCCAAATTATAGGATTCTTTCGTTTATTTTTTATCAGCACAAATTCGTTTTCCTCATGTACTTTTGATGCCATTGTATGATATTGAGACAGTTTCGTCTGTGCTAAAGGATTAAGAAAGATTCTGGATATTTGTGTAATATCTATATTAAAAACGTGTAAACATTATTATTATTATTTTCATGATTAGAAACTTGGAAGCACTGGACACCTGTCTCACCTTAGCATGAGACTCACCAGCACTACATATCCAAGACCTCCGCACGCGAGGATCGAAACCAGGACTTTCGGTCTCGCGTTCGAACGCTTAACCTTAAGATCTCTGAGTTGGCTGAGTCCCATATTAGGACGAAACGGTTGTCCAGTACTACAAAAATAATGCTACCTCCACAAATCCAGTTTATTATTGATTTTAGTCACTGTGTGGATGTTTCACATGTTTCTTAACCTCTTTCACAGTGTAGATATTACCATTACTGCTATAGTTTCTTTTTCTTGTATTGCTGTCCAACCTATCTGTTGTAACGCTTGCTTAAATGATTCTCAGATAATTCCTATTGCTTAGTATTCTCTGATCACAGTACACTGGACAAGTTCCAAAGAATCAAAAAACACGGTGGAACAGGAAAAGATTATATTCCAAACAGCAAGGTTGAATGGAAATAAGAAGGCGAAGACGAAGGCAAAAACAGATACAACGTTAGTTTCTTCTGGTTAGAAATTCACGTGATCGACTGGATTAAATTTAGCCAATCAGCATGCAGCTAACAACAAGAGAATTTTCTACCCTGTTCTCCAAGAATCGATCAGGCTCTGATTGGATTAGGAAATTAGCCAATCAACGCGCAGCTGACGCAGTCCTGCTTTATTCCATCTATCTTCAAGCCAGTGTAACCTGTTGGACGAAGTGTGTAGTTGCTTTGAAATGAGCACGAGACCATGAACCGACCCTCGAAGCCCTGTATGGCTATTTCATCCTAGTATGAAAAACCTCAGTCTTTCACATCCATGACCCTGCATTTTGGGATCGAACATGCGACAGCCTGTGTTGCATTTTAATGTTTAATTTTTAAATTACTCAGCAGGAATCCAATCAGACCACGATATTGAGCAACTACGTTCCATTGTATTCAGTGGACACCTTCCTCACATCTGACACTTTACTGGTGGCCTCCTTGAATATTTGGGCTACCCGTCCCCTAAAATCAAAAAATATTAACAAGTTACCTCTGTTTATTTTGGCACGTCAATTATGTATGTTAATCGCATAGTCTATTCAGGCACGTATATAAATTATTCACTATCACCTCTCAGGGTTCGAAAAAGTACGATCTGAGACATACCTTAGTGGCTGTCAATTTTTTGAGAAAAGAATAAGCGTTAATAAGATGTTTATTCATGAACTCCTTGCTTCTGACTGCCGATTACCAATTGATTTGTGAATGGAACTTCTCGGAGTATTCCATGATCAGAATTCCGTATTGTACTCAACATGTAATATTGAACAATCTTTATTATTATTACTGGTCATATCTTCCCACTATAACTCTGGAAATGTCTTTTTTAATGTTTTTCAATAGTGAGCGCACGATAACCATCAGTATGCGTATGTAGAGGCGTTTGAACCTAAATGAGACCACTTCTTGGTTATCTGAGGAATAACTAGGGAAAACCTGACATGCTTAGACACAGGTTTACATTCTCGCCACTCAGTGTAGTGTTTTAATGTTTTAACAGCAAGTATTCTGCTTTTTACTTAAGGTACAATAAGAAAAAGTTTGAATTAGAGTTCAGTTCGTAATGGGGTTTTTAAAACGTATTATTTTGATTGATTACCAACTTGTAAATGATGTTACGATTATTTATCTTGTGTATCAAGTCAGATTAATCCTCATAGTCGTGATTTCATTTTTTCTTTTGCATTTTATTCAGGACGAGAAGACTATCCTGTCTACAATGATATAGATGTTTTGGTTTCTGTCGATTTGACCTCAAATAGTTCGACAATTCAAAAAGTGAAATCAGCTGTATTGAATGCTTTGATAAGTTTCTTACCGGATGACAAAAAGATAGAAACTTCTCAGCAGCATGATATTCACAGTCAGTTTCAAAAAAGCTCTAATTCCCAATCATTAACTGTATCGTGTTCCGATCCCCAATCTTCTCATAATGTTCCAACAGTATCAGGAAACAGTCAAGGGATGTCAGTAACTTTATCGCCCAACAGTTCGCCTGTTAGAATCAACAGTCACTTCAGTTCCACAGAGTTGAGGCGCAGTGATACTATCAAAGTGAATAATGTTATGAATTCTAATTCTACTGATTCCGAATTTGAAAGACCTGTTGGTTTTGAGCGCGTCAATGATATCACACAGAATCAATGTGGTGTTCATATGCTCGGTATTCCACGACCCAACGCTGTAGGATGTTCTTGTCAAAGGCCACCACATCTTCCTCAACCCATTTCTTTTCCTTCTTTACCTTTTATGCATCATGGGCAGCAATCTATTTACAATACTCATTCCCCATTCAAAAGTCTTAATATAAACTCAGTGAACCATATTCAAAGTCCTACTTCAATCCCTAGTAGTTCCAATCCTTCAGATGGATTCAGTTTACGCGAATCGTATGTGTACAAGCAATTCCGTAAATTTAGTCAAGATGATGATTGTTGGTCTCTTTTATCGCTTGGTATTCCTTCTTCTGATTCTAAAGTAATTGAATTTAAATTTGTTGATCGAATGAAACGTCAGTTTGAATTCACTGTGGATAGTTTTCAAATTGTTCTCGATCCTTTGTTAACATTTTATGAATCTAATCCAGAAAAAAGCTTAACTACACATTTTTATCCAACTGTTGTGGCTGAATCAGTATCTGGATGTTTTTCAGAAGCACTTTATCATTTAGAAAATAAATTAATTGCAACTACTGAACCAGAAATGATTCGTGGTGGTGGTCTATTGAAATACTGTCGACTTTTGGTTAGTGGATACAAACCAGCCGAAGGTGTTGATGTATATACACTTGAAAAATATATGAGTTCGAGATTTTTTATTGATTTTCAGGATTTATCCAGTCAAAAAGTCAAATTAGAAGCATTTTTAGCTAATCATTTTGCAGAGCATGAAACTACTGTGAAAATCAATTATTTGCGCATTTTATATCAAGTAGTAAGCGGTTCCACCATATGTCTTATGTCTCATGAACATTTTCAAACTTTAAATCTTATCACAGAATTGTTACGTTATTTTATTCATTATAATTATTATTATTCACATTTTAATCGTTCATCATTAAGTTTGGAATGGTTCGCTGCAAAACAAAATCTTGTACTTGATAAAATTTATTTTGGAACACAACTTTTTCCTGTAATTTCAAGAAGTGAATCTTATGCGAAAAATTGTTTTTGTTATGAGCATAATAAAAAATCATCTCATCTTATTCTTGATAATTCACCACAATTTTCATCAAATTCTAATTGCCTTCCCACGGAACTGAATTCATTCACCAAATCTACGCCTAGTACAACAGACAATGATGGTTGTCTTACTTCTTCTGGTGATGATGATGACATTGAAGAAAACAAGAAAACACCTGAAACAAAATTAGGCTTCTACGTAGAATGTGAAGAGTTATCATCCACGTAAATTGATGAAAACATCAACAACAACACTATGAGACGACTGTACTCTGTGTACATCCAACTTTCCAAGTGGTGTTTATATTATATTCTGTGTGTTTAAAATTTCTCCTGTCCAATGTGACTTTGTGTCGTGCACATATTGTTCTCTGTGTGTGTGTGTAGGTTCATCAGTTATGACGTGATTTTGTATTGTTTCGTCGTCTTAATTCTTCCTATCTGATGCATGTGTTGTTGTTTGTTATCTGTTGTGTATAAGCAGGAAATTTTGTTTCAAACTCGTTCATGTATCAATGATAATAATAATAATAATAGTAATAATGACAATGCGCATTTACTGGTTGGCTGGTTGATGATGAAGATGCAGCTCTCTTGTAATCTGTTTTTGATTTTTTTTTTATGGAATACGACCAATTAATCCCATGAAATGAAATGGAGTCATGGTTTATGAGAACGGCGAAAAAAAAATACGGAGTAACAAGGGGAAAAATGCACTGCCAATTGAAAACAATTTCAACCCGGTGATGGGTGTTTTGTGTAATCACTTGTGTGTGTATTATTGTGTTACTACTTGGCTTCACCGAATTGTATTCATCTCAATTTGTATCGTGTACTGTTTTCCTTCTTTGTTTTTTGTCTTTCATCATTGTTCCAGTATTGAGTCTGTTCTTCTTTCCTGTATATAAAGCTGTGTGTGTGCATGCGTGTGTGTCGAATATGTAACCTACTGATACTACTGATGAAAAATATGGTGTCAATGGAAAAGTGTATGCATATACATACACACGCCACTTCGCTTTCAGTATCGCACAAAACAAAAACTCCAGTATTGTTTGTTGTATTGAGCCCTGTTCTCTTATTGACAGCTTCTCTGTTGCAATCATACGAAATGGTTTTTTCAAGTCATTCTTTTCTCTATGGTCGTGAGGAGGATAGTCAATTCAAATCCTGTGAATATATATATATATATATTTCTATATATTCATCATTAAAGTATGGTCAACTTTCAAATGTGTTTTGTTATTCATTCTTCATATTTTCTTCCGTTGTCTGTATGCCATTATCTTATCATTCCAATAAGAACATCAATTCTTGATTAAGCATTCAACAATACATTCTTGAAATGTATCTGTTATTTATCTTGCGGTTGATTGATCTTATTTGTAATAATTGTTTCGCACACGCAACACATCCTCTTCATCCCTCATACATCTCTGGTTTGTTCTTTTCCCTTACATCACAATGTAAGTATTAATTTTCAGTGTACATTTTTCTTCGCTTTCATGATTGATTACATGTGATAAGTGAAGTTGAGTTTACGGCCAATTCCCTTAAGCGTGGATGTCCACGCGAAGTTGCAGCTGCTCTATCCATACATCTTGTGGATTGTACACACACACACACACACCCAAGAACATTCATGAACTTCAATTGGTTTCTGAAACTATTGTTATTATTATTATTATTATTACTATTATTGTTATTACTGGTATTACTATCACTACTACTACTATCTGTTGCACTACACGCACACACACACACACTTACATTGTGTTCTGTTTTGTAATTTGTCTGTGATCTATTTTGTCCTTGTGGCGATTATCACTCCAAATCAATCGGTCAATCAATCAACATATTACACACAAGAAAATGACTACATTTGTATTTGTCCTATTGTTTATTTCGTATTTGTATGTGTGTGTGTGTGTATGTGTATGTGTCAGTGGTTGGTATCATTAACATTTATCATAAAATTATAATACTTATTATTATTATTATTATTGTTACTTCTGCCCACTTCTATCATCACTATTATATAATTATGTTGTTGAGTACACCAGATTTTTGGACAATCTATTTTTTTTTAAAAGGCAAACCAAAAATTGCTTATATATTTATTACTATTTTAAAATGAAATAAAGTGATCTAATTACTTATTTTTCGAAATTAGTGCTTTCTCGCCCCCCCCCCCAGTAAATGTTAGATGATTCGATTTCATGTCGACGATAAATGATTATTCTAAGGATGGTTATAATTTGCATTACGGGGTTATGAAGATTGTTAATTTACACATTTTTTTGAAACCATGAGTCGATCAATGTTAGACCACCGTCAGAAACCTGGAAGCACTGAAAGACGGCCGTTTCATCCTGGTACGGGACTCCTCGGCAGTGCGCACCTACGACTCCTGCACCCGCGGGATTCGAATCCGGGACCTTCGGTATCGAGCGCGAACTCCTTAACCGTTAGACTACTGAGTCGGTATCTAACGGTGTTAATGTCTAACTTGATCAAATTCACGGAGTTGCGCAACCTCATACACAATCTTCGGTAGACATTGCCTACACCCGAACAGGTTGAACTTCACTGGTCACGTCTTCCCATGAGAGAGAGGCCAGCGTAGTTTTTAGTGATACGTAACTGTGATGTCATAAGTGATACTGTGTTCTGTGAATGTACAAAACAGTCTATATCACATATTGGTTATTTTTCACGCACTGATACTACTCCGTTTAGTTTTATCGAGTATTTTAGTCTTCTAGGTAGTATTTCGCGAAAAGGTGACTTAGTTGGTTTTCTCGACTTAACTCTACAACCTGTATCATTGTGTCTTGTTAGTCTACTTAGATCAGTTTCTGCGGAATGAATGTCTGAAGTGAAAGGCAAGTGGTTTGTGCAATAAATCTAGTCGTTTTTAGGTTCCCAGAACTGTTATGTCTGACAGTCAGGTGAATTAAATATACAGCTATTCATATAGGTATTTTCGTCGCCTTTCGAATAAATTGACTTTTTCACTGTTTCCATGCAATAGCGACATTAATTGGTTTCCATTGTCTAGTTGTCCCCACTAGCCAAACCTCATTTCATATTCTGTCAGTTGATACTAATCGGTAGTTGATGGCTGTACAAATACACTCAGTAGTATAGATTCGTCCATTTGACTTTTGAATTAATATCAACGTCTTCACTAACCGCGCTTGTCAGTTACTCCTGTTCCATCAGTTTATCAATATTCAGTACATTTTGATCGATCACTTAAACAGTCTGTAACTAATCGTCGGACCGCTACGCTGTAGATTTGTATTAGCTTCATTTGTATGTAAGAATAGTGCTAAAATTTCATAAACGTAGCATATATCCATGATCATTCATAACGCCACTTTGGTTGCTTTTATGAATGTCACTGTTGTCTTGCAGATAAATAATTCTTCCTCTATATCCGCTCACATTATAGAAATCAATAATTTACTGCATTTTCCTCATAAAAAACATTAGCATAGTAGTATTTTGTTTTTTGTGATGTTTGTTGAAGTCATGAATTATTGTTTGTCGTGCATAGTTTGGTCGAGTATATTTATTGACCATATCAGCTGTTCATATTATACCTAACTAACATTGGATACTACTATTTTTTTTGCCCTCGACAGTTGGTCTCACGCAAAAAAAATGTTATTTACTAATGACAAATCTATCTTGTTAATATAAATCATTTGATATTTAGTTGACTACATCAAGCTTTCAACAATTTGCTTGCCGCCAAGTTGGTCGATTTTTAACTTGGTCATAAAAATGTTCGCATTAGTCAAATTTATCTAAAAGAATTAATCGGTTGTATTTTTTTTGATGAATAAATTGGGAAAATGAATGACTGAATAATAATGATAAGTAATCTGTTATTGTTATCAATTCAACATTCATTGAACTGCTAAATCGAATTGGACATTCCAGTTGAATAGACTGTTCTTTTTTTTTTGAATTTGAAACTAAGACAAACATCATCCAACCAATGAACATTGTATTATAAACTAGTTTTTATTTAGACTTGATGTCTGACAGTGTTAGAGGTAAGCATTGTATTTCCACTAGCAGATTCATGATTATGAAAGTAATTAACATCATAATTGTCCAACATATGCCTTGGTACAGACAAGATCGTGCGGAGACTCTATTCTCCTCGAAATGTTCTCATATGGCTACGCGTGTGTAGCCACAATCTGGGAAGTCCTACTTACTGTCTTCCGATAGTAGGTGTATGGTTTAATGAATTTAAAGGATGAGAAATAAGTGTCTGATACTAAAATCAGATCGGTGGGTATCGAGGATCTACCCATGAGAATCGGTAAACCCTGATTCCAAACCAACGGTGCACATGGACTAATAAATGGCGCATGAACCTACTGTTGGTCACCAGTTATCTCCTAACGTTACTGCGCCAAGTCAAAAGCTCGGTCAGAACTTCGTACGTACGTGCATCAGTTCAGGTTGCCATACCACGGTAGTACAGAGATGCGATTGTCGACTAAAATCCCGTAGTGGTAGAGGTAGAAGAAGCATGAGCAGTAATCGGAAAGACCGCGGTCCGGAGATATTATTCAAGAAGTATAATCCAGTGAAATAGATTTCAGATGAAGAAGATGAAGGTTATGAGGAGTTTCGATTATAATTTGGGAGAACATGAAGTATGGATGCACCTGCACCATTGTAGACGATGTTGAGCCATGTCATCCAAGGTCTCTAAACATCAGTTACTATTGTCTCCCAAGCCTCAACCATGTAGTCTACACCTACTAGCATGGGTCAATCCATTTGTCAGTGACTTCATGGATTCATACCCTGTGTTGGTTTGTCTGCCCCTAGCTTTCTTCCAACCCACTCCTACATCTCAAAACATCGATCGTCGAGGCAGTTGGTGGTGGTTGGGCATTCGTAACACATGTCCCAATCATCTCAACTGATGAAGATTCACTACATCATTGATTGATTTGCCAAAAATACCTTATACTCGTTCGCACGACACTAAAGGTCCTGGGTTGGATTACCGCTAGTGGTAGTCGTGGATGTGCACTGCTAATGAGTCCCATACTAAGACCGAACAGCCGTTGAGGGATTCCCGGTTACTAATGGTGGTCTTGCAATGGTCGATTGATTATTCAAATGAGAATAAACTATATGGCTGAAATATGCTTAGATGAAGTTTAATAATGTTTTTCTCTTAAATATGTTGACATATGTGAACTGTTTTGATAATTCATTGCATTCAACTAGAATCAGTAAAATGGTTTATTTTTCACTTAGTAAATTCATATTTATTGATTTTTTACTGACTATTGTAGAGAATTACTACACTGTGAGTAGCATCATCAGTTACAAAGTCTTAACACTTAGTTTAACACTGAAATCTCAATTTTTACTACAGTACTATTGACTTTGGTTTTAAGTAGCGATTTCTATCCTAAAATTAGTGATGTATCGTTGGAAATATCGAGATCGAAATTTAACAATCACTTTATTAGTTCTAGTTAATAACCCAATGAATAGAAAGTGCACTAATACATTTTTGCGAAATTACCATGATTTCGTTTTCGGGAATATATTTTAGGTAATAAAATGGTGAATTTTTTTGCGTAATCCATGTTTCATGACCTTATCACCGTAATCAAGATATTTAGGTAATTTAATTGTATCAGGCTAAATTACCATCCATTGATCATATTCATTACAGATTGTATTATATTACAAATCGATTGGGTTTAGAACTGTACTACTGGACCACAATCCAATCGTTCTAATGTTACGTGTTCACTACGAAACTTGATCTCTGAATAAGTCACAGGTGTGTGCCACTGAGAAGTCCTATACTAGAGTGGTGAAGACTACTCACAAAGTGACTTGTAAGTAGTGTTATACAGCTAAGAGCTTCCTAGAAGTTACTGTCAGATAGAGAAGAGGATCAACCGATATGAATGCACGGTGAGTTTGAGTAGTAGTGGTAGTTGTAGTAGTAGTGTGAGTAGTAGTAGTCGTAGTAGTAGTAGTAGTGTGAGCAGTAGTAGTAGTGTGAGTAGTAGTATGGTGTGAGCTACTTATAAGTAGTATATGATGTAAGTGTCAACGTAATGTCTGGCAGCAGAAGATGAGGAAAGATCAAGAAAGGAAGAGTTAGAAAACAATGGAATTTGTATGAAACGCATTAACAGTGACAATGGATTGGTGTTTTGCAACAGGAACAGTCTAGTTCGATATGATGAACTGATATTTTGCAAATGAACAATTTACGATATGGTTTTCCGATTTTACTGAGTAACTCTGTAATTTTCGTTAAATACAATTCGGTTGCCCCCCCTGTGTTCTCCTTCAATACAGTAGTAGCAGTTGTGTGAGTAGTAGTAGTGTGAGTAGATTAGTTGCAATTAACTCACTTTAACTATGTTATTAACAAGTACTTTATTCTTTCTTGATTTATGTTACAAGTTCACGTAATCATTCATAGCATTTTTTTTTGTATCTGTTTAACTCAATCTATATTCCGACACCATTATTCATTCATATTCTATAGACTAGATATGAACATAATACACTCTTCGTAGACCATATGACCAACATTTTATTGAAATAATCTGAAAATAGTAAAAAGAATAAAAATTTTTTCTTCCAAATTTTAGTGATTTTCTTTGTGTGAGAAAATTTTTTTCCAATCTATTGAAATTCATTTACTATTTTACGACATTTAAAACAAAGGAAATTTTATACATGGCAATAAAAATATCTTTTTTTTATCTTAAAAAAAAAACAACATTTTATCATGGTAGATCATTTCTGTAAATAATAGTAGGTGTAAATAGTCGTGGATGAGTCCCATACCAGATTGAAACGGTCATCCAGTAGCTTCCAAGATTATAATGGTGGTCTAATGATGATCGATTGATGATTTCAATCAAACGTAACAATCTCCACAACCCTATAATGCAAATAACAGTGTATTAAAAAAAAGAACGGATATACTCTCGATTTCAATGAATGAAAATTATTATTCGACAAGTT